CAAAAAGAATTCAGAGTACTCTTCCTTAAACACCAATTAAAAACATGGAAGGAAAAATGCCAAGAAAAAAATATCAGTTGTAGATTTTTGACATTTTGACAAGATATGCAAATTTTGCACACATAAAAAATCTGCAACTACTCTTCCATTTTCTATATCTTTAACTTCGAGATTTTTTTTTCACTTTTTCCCCATATTCGAAAGAGAGAATTCTGAGCCATTCTTACAAATATCTTTTCTTTTAAGTCCTTTTTAGCAATATGCCATCAAAATTTACGCTGTCCAAAAAAAAATAAAGGAAAAATGGCAATAAAGGCACACCCAAGGGAATTAAATATAAAAAAGTCTCTTAAAATCATCAAATTATTCTAAAGTTCCAAGGGACCTCATTGCAAAAAAATTTATTTGTTTAATTACCAAATTTTTTTTTTAAGTTTGCATTGACAATTGAAAGGGTAATCGTTGACAACTTAAGGTGTAGAATAACAACTATCGCGGCAGGTATTGACAAACACATTTTTTCAGCATATTACAAAATGTAATGCATGAATTGTCAATACCTGCTATGATAGTTGTTAATCCTTAACACAGCCCTACAAGAACACAACATCAACATGTCAAATGGAAGATTTCTTTTTTTTAAAAAAAAAAAACTTTGCTATATGAATTAATGATGTTTACATAACAATTTTAAGGTAAATGTTAAGAAAAAACGGGTTAATGATTTAAAGAAATAATAATCTCCCCAAAATTGTAAGGTAAAACTGCATAATGGTTAGTTGCAGGAAAATTTACAAGCCTTTTTATAGCTCCATAACCATGACTTCCCACAACCAATATAGAAGCATGATGTTTGTCCACAGCATCGCAAAGCACGTTTTTGGCGTCTCCTTCCATTACTTCAACTTCTACATCATTTACCTGGAGATACAGTCACTTAATTTTTCCTTAGGATAAATATATAAAGTATTTCAAGCCTCCAGCATTAGACCCTTTTTTTGGATCAAAAGAAATATCGGGTGTATTTGGATTTGACTTAGAAAAATTAAAATGATTGGAGAACAAGTAATAGTTGCCTGTAAAAAAAAAAAAATTCAATGTTCAAAATTGATTTTGATTTTAGCATGAGTGTTTAGATATACTACTATTTTAATAAAGTCACGATTTTTTTTTAATCCAAATAGCCGCTATGGATCCAAAAATTTAGGGATAAATACATCTACAGACACATCAGAGTAAACTATAAACGCATCAACGTAAGAAACCAAAATTGAACAAGCATTGAGAAGATTTTTATAGGACTAGTGATATTGGGGCGAGGGACCGACTAGAATCAAGTAATGAACAGTCGGTTGATCTAGGTAGGACCTTAAGAGGACCTTTCTCTTACAACCCTAGTCTTGAAAACACCACAAGGTTGATCAATCCCTTGATACCGTCGAGTATTCTTATGAGAATATAAGGATGCAAGAAAAGCTCACACAGAGAGAAATAAACTCAATTCTCATTCATCTAAGTCTTCCTTTTAAGTACAAAAACGTAGCCTATATATAGGCAACCATAGAATACTCTAGAATAAGCATCTTAAGACATAAATGCTAGAAATGATGTCTCATTAATGATTATTTGATTATGGAAGGCATCATTTATTATATAGAAATAAAAGGAAACAACTTAAACTTCAAGAACAAGTCTGCTATTTGAAAATAAGAAACTATAAAATAGGAAACTAATTAAAATAAACAGAATCCTAATTAATGTTAATAATATCACTCTTGATACTTTTTGAATTTTCTTGGATCTTCCAAATGGACTTTCATTGCTATTCACGTCCAAAAGTATAAATGAGCCTTTTAGATATCCATTTGGGCTTGAATGTAGTTGAATCATGTTATGAAACTCCCATGGTCCATAGCACAATGCATTTGAGCCCCAATTTAAAAGATTATAGCTCCCATGGACTTCTCTATGCATATATAATTGCGTTGGGTCTTCAACAACATGGGAATTGGCTTCAAATGCTCTTTTTGGTCTCTTAGAACGTGTTCTTATCTTTCTCAAGGTCCAAGTGTTCACACTTCGATAACTTATATGCCATGGTGGTTTTCAGGGTGGCCTTCCATATGTCACGTTAAGCTCCGTCTGTATCCACGTCATCATCCAAGGAATTATCCATGTGCTCCTCCACGTAAGTATTCTCTATAAATCCCTTGAATACTTTGAAGGGCTTATTGGGCTTCTAACTGAAGGAATGCTATTTGGGCTTCATAACCTCCATATTCAACGCCTCTTGATTAGCTAGAATCAAGTAATGAACGGACGGTTAATCTAGGTAGGACCTTAAGAGAACCTGTCCCTTACAACCCTAGCCTTGAAAACACCACAAGGTTGATTAATCCCTTGATACTATCGAGTATTCTCATGAGAATACAAGGATGCAAGCAAAACTCACGTAGAGAGAAACAAACTCAATTCTCACTCATCTAGGTCTTCCTTTTAAGTACAAAAACGTAGCATATATATAGGCAACCATAAAACACTCCAGAATTAGCATCTTAAAACATGAATGCTAGGGATGATGCCTCATTAATGATTATTTGACTATGGAAGCCGTCATTTATTACATCGAAATAAAAGGAAACAACTTAAACTTAAAGAACAAGTCTGCTATTTGAAAATAAGAAACTATAAAATAGGAAACTAATTAAAACAAACAAAATCCTAATTAATGTCAATAATATCCCTCTTGATGCTTCTTGAATCTTCTTGGATCTTCCAAATGGACCTTCATTGCTATCATGTCCAAAAGTATAAATAGGCCTTTTAGACATCCATTTGGGCTTGAATTAGTTGAATCACGTTATGGAACTCTCATGGTCCATAGCACAATGCATTTAGGCCCCAATTTAAAAGATTATAGGTTTGATGGAATCCTCCATGCATATATAACTGTGTTGGGCTTCAACAACATGGAAATTGGCTTCAAATGCTCTTTTTGGTCTTTTAGAACGTGCTCTTATCTTTCTCAAGGTCCAAGTATTCATACTCCGATGACTTATATGCCATGGTGGTTTTCGGGGCGGCCTTCCATATGTCATGTTAAGCTCTGTATGTATTCATGTCATCATCCAAGGAATGATCCACGTCCTCCTCCATGTAAGTATTCAAGCTATAAATCCCTTAAATACTTTGGAGGGCTTGTTGGGCTTCTAATTGAAGGAGTGCTATTTGGGCTTCATGACCTTCATATTCAACGCCTCCTGACCAGCTAGAATCAAGTAACGAACGAACGATTGATCTAGGTAGGACCTTAAGAGAACCTGTCTCTTACAACCCTAGCCTTGAAAACATTATAAAATTGATCAATCCCTTGACACTATCGAGTATTCTCATGAGAATACAAGGATGCAAGCAAAGCTCACGTAGTGAGAAACAAACTCAATTCTCATTCATCTAAGTCTTCCTTTTAAGTACAAAAAGTAGCCTATATATAGGCAATCATAGAACACTATAGAATCAGCATATTAAGACATAAATGCTAGGGATGATGCTTCATTAATGATTATTTGACTATGGAAAGCATCATTTAGTACATAGAAATAAAAGGAAATAACTTAAACTTCAAGAACAAGTCTGCTATTTGAAAATAAAAAACTAATTAAAACAAACAGAATCCTAATTAAGGTCAATAATATCACTCTTAATGCTTCTTGAATCTTCTTGGATCTTCCAAAGGACCTTCAGTGCTATTCACGTCTAAAAGCATAAATAGGCCTTTTAGACATCCATTTGGACTTGAATGTAGTTGAATCATGTTATGGAACTCCTATGGTCCATAGCACAATGCATTTGGACCCCAATTTAAAAGATTATAACTCCAATGGAATCCTCCGTGCATATAATTGTGTTGGGCCTTTAATAACATGGAAATTGGCTTCAAATGTTCTTTTTGGTCTCTTAGAACGTGCTCTTATCTTTCTCAAGGTCCAAGTGTTCATACTCTGATGACTTATATGCCATGGTGGTTTTCAAGACGGCCTTCATATGTCACGTTAAGCTCCGTATGTATCCATGTCATCATCCAAGGAAAGATCCATATCCTCCTCCACGTAAGTATTCACGAGCTATAAATCACTTGAATACTCTAGATGGCTTGTTGGGCTTCTAATTGAAGGAGTACTATTTAGGCTTTATGACCTCCATATTCAACGCCTCCTGGTATGTTATCAACAAGTCTTTTTCATGGTATGAGGAAAAAAACAGAGAAAAACAAAATCATATTAAGAAAATTAATATTACCTTCAATCCTAAATATAAAAACTAATTGACTAATTTGAGGAGATTAAGAAAATAACTTTAGTCTGTTATCTGTGATAAACATATGTTTTTCAAAATAAACAATCCGTAAGTATCTTTATAACCACTCTCTAAACTTGGAAGCATGTTTTGATCTTACTGAGTTCATATGACTCAACTCACCTAAACTTTTTTGTAACAAAAAAGATCATCACACTTGTTAATAAACATTTTTGTGATATCGTGGGTTTATTTCACATTATTCAATTTTTTATAATCAAACACATTATTCAGTTTAAATTTAGGGGAAACTGTAAGCGCAAAAAAATATTTGGTAAAAAGAACTAAGAATATTCTTCCTTAAACACCAATAAAAAAACATGGAAGGAAAAATGCCAAGGAAAAAAATCAGTTGTAGATTTTTTACATTTTGACAAAGTATGCAAATTCTGCACAAACAAAAAAATTTGCTAACTGGTCTTCCATTTTCTATATCTTTAACTTCGGTTTTTTGCACCTTTTCCCCATATTCGTGAGAGAGTATGAATTCTGAGCCATTTTCACAAAATATCTTTGCTTGTAAGTCCTTTTTAGCAATACCCCATCAAAATTTACACTGACAATTTCAGCCCATAAACAAGCTACACTTTTTCACTGTGAGCATGATACAACACAGTGGTTATTTTAAGTGATTTTAGCTGGAGTGAAGTGAGAAATGTTTTTTTATTGTAAAACATAAAATTGACTTATTTACCTGATTTCCAAGCCTCCACTTAATGAGGTAGAACAATAACAAGAAACAACCCAGCCCAACATTCACACAGTAAGCATATAGGTACATTGCTTAAAACATAGCGATACATTCAATCTTCAACCGAGAGTAGATACAACACAGCCATGACTTTGAATGTTCTGGGAGCCCCCTAGGATCAATATTTAGCTGAAAGTACTTATTGGAGGCAGCCAAAGCATGCATATCAAAGTTCTTTTATTTTTTGGTCTTGGCCTGACACGCATATCAAAGTTCAGTGCTTGGGTTTTGGCTTCTTTACAATCATCACAGTGCAGTGGGCATGATGAGCACAATAGTCACTCACACTCCCTAACACAGCCCTGCAAGAGCACAAGCATCAACATGTCAAATGGAAGTTTTTTCTTTTTAAAAAAAATCTATATCAATTAATAAAGACGTTAGGTGTTAAAACAGCTTAATAAGACATAATAATCTCCAGAAAATCGTGAGATAAAACTGCGATAATGGTTAGTTGCAGTTACATACCTTTTTATAGCTCCATAACCGTGACTTCCCACAACCAATATGGAAGCATGGTGTTTGTCCACAGCATCGCAAAGCACGTTTCTGGCGTCTCCTTCTATCACTTCCACTTCTACATCATTTACCTGCAGATACATTCACGTCATTTTTTCCTTAGGATAAATCTATCAAGTATTTCAAGCCTCAAGCATTAGACCCTTTTGTTTTGGAGCAAAAGAATATCGGGTGGATTTGGATTTGAGTTGGAAAAATTAAATTTGAATGCAATTGATTTATAAGACTGATTTTGAATGTAATTAAAAAGTAAAATTGGGAAGCAAGTAATAGTTGCCTATAAGAAAAAAATCCAATGTTCAAAATTGATTTTGATTTTAACTCGAGTGTTCTAGATATATTACTATTTCCAAACAGTCGCTATGGATCCAAGAATTTAGGGATAAATACATCTACAGACACATCATAGTCACAGTGAACTACAATAACACATCAACATAAGAAACCAAAATAGGACAAGGATTGATTAGATTTTTATATCACTAGTCTTTCACACGGTAAGAGGGAAAGAACAGAGAAAACAAAATCATATTAAGAAATAGTGCGTACTGTTTTTATTTTCTTCTTTTCAGAGCCGTGACGCACGCTATAAACTATGAAACTGGAACCAGTTTCTCCGGAAATTTTTTTGTCATTTCTTCCTAGTATCATAAATCTCAGCGAAAACCTTGCTAGAGTCACTTCAATTCAAGGAAAGATTGAAGTTACTGAAAGAAGAAATGAAATAGCAGAAGGAGGAAACGAAACTGAATGATGGTAGTAATTGATGGTTAAATAAACAGATATCCAGTATTCGAAGTGATTATTAATTACCGATTTCCTGATGCAAAGCTCTTTGGCCTTTTCAACAACTTTTGTAGCCGTTCTTTTCAAATCCGCATCAACAATGGGCAAAACGTTATTAGCTCCTGCGAACAATGCATTTTAGATAGAGTTGTCGACGAATTTACAAACAGAGGAAACTAGAATCGATGAGAAAAATCATAATAATCAAGAATCGATGAGAAAATGGAGTAGCGTACCAGGGCCGGCGAGGCCGAGAGTGGAGATCGCAGAAGGTCTAGCATGAACAAGAATGAGCTTGAAGAGAGGATTAGGGGTGGAAGTGAAGAAGTGATCGAGAGCCCATTTGAGAGCATAGGCACTGTGCTCACTCTCGTCGATAGCCACCATCATCACTTGCTTCTCCGACGAGGTCGCCATGGAAACTCAGATGTTGCTCGCCGTCGCAGACGATCGCCCGTTCGCGCGTTTTAATTCCTGTATCGGCGTGGATGGAATTTGGAACGCCACCACAATACACTTCGCGTGCCGCTAAATTGACTCCATATTTATCCGGAGCATAGGCCAGTAAGGTGCGCAGAAACGACGTCGCATCCTTGTAATGTCCACGTGTAAAGTCTAGACTGGCTGCTATGTACGGAGTATGGACTATGGATTAGAATGCCAAGCTGTTTTATTTTATTACCATCACCACAATAGATGGTAGGCATATCAAGATAATCCGTACTGGTCTGATTCTTAATACAAATAAGAGCTGCTTAACATACGTAAGGAGATTAAAAAAATAATTTAAATTAGTTATTTGTAATAAATAAGTATTGTTTTTTTTAAAATATCGTTACTAATCAAATTTATTGGTTAGAACTATGATTATTAGAAGGACTAACTTAAAAAAAATACATAAATATGAGAGACAAAGTTAATTAGAGTCTTATAATTAGGATCAGAATAAAAATCAAACTAAATCTTATATTAACTTTACATAACATATTGGTCCGGGGGTTTGGTTAAATCACCCCAAAAGTCAAAGCATCTTTTGTTGGGCGGAGATGGAAGGAAGGAAATAAGAGAGTTCTGTTCATGAGTTTGAATTAATATCATTCTTACTTTTTTAAGTTTTTGTTTCTGTTGAATTTGTTGATTTTAGTGTCTATAGTTTCATAACCTTTTTGCTATGAGTTTAATGAATAATTTATAATTCTTATATTTTTAAGGAGTTTTGATTTTACTTGGAGGGTGTTGGTATCCTCTGAAAGCATTTATAAAAAAAAACTAAAATTATTTCACAACTATAAAATTATTTTTTAAAATTATAATTTGATTTTTGTCTAATCAACTCTTTAAACTCAGATTAGATTTTTATGAAACTATATGAACCAAAACCAATAATATAAAATTATAGAGATTAAAACTAAATTAAATCTCCGATTATATCAAGGATGAGGGGCAGTAGCATTTTTGGTTTTAAAAGTAAAGTAAGGTGGGAAAATTTTAATAAAAAGATGATATGGGATAATTGGAAGTTCTAGAGAATTCCGTGGCAACATGACTAGGGATCCCCTCACGCGCCATCATTCCTGTGGGCTTGGTTGTAACTCACATTGCCGCCACATGTCAAAAATACAGCGGCGCTGCTGGAAAAGGAAAGCAATAATATTGATGTATTTTATTATTTTTATAGTATCTATATGTGTTAAAAGTTTCATTAAATGACAGTTTTAGTCAATATATATGATTAATAAAAATATTTTAAAAAATAATATGTATTTATTATAAATAACTAACTTAACAAACTTTCTTAATCTATTTAAATTGGCTAATTAGCTTTTATATTAAGGATTGAAATTAATACATCCTTAAAGATGACAACTCTATGGCATTGTTAAGATGTTTCATAGTTTTGAAGAGAATTATTCTATCTTTAATAAACATTCCTCCTTTTCCTATTTGAGAATACTTTTTCATAATTTACACATTTATTATATCTTTTACAAAAGGTTCAAACTCATAAATTCATTAAAAATTTGGTTTTATCTAAGACTCCGACAAATTTGAACTAAACTCAGAGTGAATTTTTATGAAACTATATGAACCAAAACCAATAATTTAAAATTATAGAGATTAAAACTAAATTAAATCTCCAGTTATATGAAGGAAGAGAGGCAGTAGCATTTTTAGTTTTAAAAGCAAAGGTAGGTGGGAAAGTTTTAATAAAAAGATGATATGGAATAATTAGAAGGTCTAGAGAATTCCGTGGCAACAATACTATAGATGCCCTCACGCGCCATCATTCCTGTGGGCTTGGCTGTAACTCACATCGCCGCCACATGTCAAAAATACAGCGGCGCTGCTGGAAAAGGAAAGCAATTGGGGGATCGTGCTGGCTGTACTGAGCTACTTATTTGATGTACAATTAGAGCCGGTAATATGGGTTGGATCCGCGGGTCCAACCCGCCAACCCGTAAAAAATGGCGGGTTAGGATTGGCCAAAAGCCAACCCGTCATTACCTTAAAAAATATAACCTGCACCGCCATAACCCTAACCCGCGGCGGGTTGGCCCACCAACCCGCGGGTTAACCCACCTATTTTTTTTTTTAAAAAAAAGATAACAAAGGCAAAAGTAAAGCAAATTTTTACTTCAAACTTTATTGTCATTAGAAATAATTAGATAAATAAGGTTATTCAATATTGCTCATTGGTTTTATTGAAAAAAAAATGTGTGAACTTGTGTATTATCATGTTGGAAAATTGGACAATCATATACTATTTGTATTTTATTGTGTTGTAATTTTTATTTGGATGTTTCTAATATTTTATATCATTTTTAGTATTTTTATTTTGTATTATATATAATTGCTAACATTTAAAAAATAAGAAAATTAAAAAAAAACAAAAAATAAAAATAAAAATTTTGGCGGGTTGGTCCAACCCACATTGGCGGGTTAGGGTTGGCAAAATGCCAACCCGCCAGAAAACGGGCCTTTTGAGCCTGCACCGGACAACCCACAACCCGTCACGGGCCAATCCGCAACCCGCGGGTTGGCCCGTTTTACCAGCCCTATGTACAATCTGGTTGTAACAATTTATTTTATTTTTTTGCTCAAAAAAATTTGTTTTATTTATCATATTTATTTATTTTTTAAAATAATTTTTGTAATAATTGTACATGTTAAAATTTTTATTAAATGATACTACATCCAGTCTTAATTATAAGACCCTATTTGTAAACTACAAATGGAATCTTATAATTAGGATTGGAGGTAGTAGTTCTAATCAATACACATGATTAATAAGAATATTCTAAAAAAACAATACATATTTATTATAAATAACTAACTTAGTAAATTTTCTTAATATATTCAAATTGGTCAACTAGTTTTTATACTACCTCCGATCCTTAATATAAGACTCTGTTTGACTTTTATTTTGGTCCTAAATATAAGACCCCAATCCACTTTGTCTCTCATATTTATACATTTTTTTCCAAAATAGCCCTTCTAATAATAAGACTTCTAGTCAATACACTTGATTAGCAAGGATATTTTAAGAAAGACAACACCTATTTAAGATAAATAACTAACTCAACTTACTTCCTTAATCTCCTCAAATTAGTCAATTGGCTCTTATAATCAGGATCGGAGGTAGTATTAAGAACCGAAATTAGTATATCCTTAAATATGACAACTCTATGGCATTGTTAAGATGTTTCGTAGTTTTGAAGAGAATTATTCTATCTTTGATCAACCTTCATCCTTTTCATATTTGAAAATTCAGTTCTCATTTAAAAAAAAAAAAAGAAAGGGAAAAGCAGGGCTGGGTTTGGATTATTTTTACTTTTTCATAATTTACACACTTATCATATCTCTTACAAAAAGGTTCAAACTCATAGATTCATTAAAATTTGGTTTTATCTAAGGCTCCGACGAATTTGAACTAAATTCAGACGTCATCAAAATCGCGCTACAATTTGACTGGCTGGTATCCATATGCCGCTTAGGAAGTTATAACCAACCTTTCAAAGCATAAGCAGCTAACCAAGGATTTGGACTATTTTAGGCTCCTGGGTCGTCGTTGCTTGTAGAGACGGGGGAGTTTTAATTTGTGTTTGAAGTTAATTACAAGGAAAATTTGGTGATGAAGCCGCAGGTCTTGTAGCTTAATAGGATTTGGTGACAATGATCCTGCTTGTGATCTCATTTTTTAATTTGAAAAAAAAAAGTTTGGTAAAGTATTTGATCATTACAAGCACGCCTACCAAACTAAGTGCCAGTGGGATTCTAAATTCTATTCGTTCTCAACCTCAGCTTCATTATCATTATCATTATTTTTATTTTTTCGTTTGTTTGTTTCGCTTCTGTTTTTGTAGTTTATGGAACTTTTGGGCCCCTAATCTCACCCAAAAGATTTAAACATAACAACAAAGCATATGTTTGAATGAAAAACAACGGTCATCAATTTAATCATTATTTTTAAATTATATATATGTAAAAATTATTCATTATTTTTTTCATTATTAAATTAAAAAAATCAGTTTGAAATTTAAAATGAAATCTAAAATTAAAATCACATAAACGTCCGTCTTAATTATGAAATCGATATATTACATAAGAAATATTAATAAAATTGATATAATAAAGAGTAATATTATAGAATAAATTCCATATGTTAAACAAAAACATATTGCTATCTGTGTCAAGTATATATTGCTTTTGAAATATTCGTTGATTAGTTCAGTTTGATTATTTATTTTACTTGGAAAAATATTATATAACTGTTTATATTAAATTATCCGGAAGAGATTAGGTTTTAGTAAAAGATAAGGTTGTGTTTAGGAAGAAGCAATTATTTAATGTTTTCAGAAACACACTACCTTCTTATAAAAAGCACACGCTTACGTATATGATTACAGATTGATCAATACATCTAGATCAAGAAATCTGGTCAAGCAAACTATATACATGCCAAAATCAATTATGAACCAAAAATCATAATTATCTCATAAGTTATTATCACTTCTTTTGAATTATACTTTCCTAAAAATTTATCTAACACAATACTATCTTTAAATAATCAATAATTATGTTTGAAAATCAATGTTATATATGCTTTGTTTTACTCGACGCTAATCCAAATGTGTCTGAAACATGTGAAGGTAACTTATGAGAAAGATGATTGATGGTCTCATATTGATTTTAATTAAAAGATACTTTCTACCTTATTATATATCTCTTGATTATTACCAAATTTGAAATGCGAAATGCCTAGCAAGTTCTACTCTGACTTTGATTTTAAATTACAAAACCTAAAGCGTTGAAGACTTGAAGCTTCCACGCGGCTTCCAAAGGAGCATATATTTAGGGGGTATGCATGAATGAAAAACACGGTCATCATTTAATGTGCCTCTAAAAATAATAATGGAATGAAAAATCATTATTTTTAAATTATATATATGTAAAAATTATTCATTATTTTTCTATATTTTAAATTAACAAAATCAAT